GATGGTGGTGGTGGTGCGGGTGGTGCGAGTGGTGGTGATGGTGGTGGTGATGGTGGCGCGGCGACTGCGCCTCGTAGCAGCCCGAGTCGCGCGGGAACTGCAGGCGACGGAAGGCCGACGGCGAGTGCCGGCCCCGCCCGCCCACGCGCACCACGCCCGGGTCGCTGGCGCGCTCCACGATGCAGTCGTCGTCGTCGTCCACGTCGTCGTCCCCTTCGTCGTCGTCCTCGTCGTCTTCGTCGTCGCGCCCCGAGCTCGAGCCGGCCGCCTCGTCCGCCTCCGAGTCGCCGCGACTGTCAGGAGCTGCCGGAGAAACAAACGAGCATTTTCATTATTCAAGTATTCATTTAATTGTTATTTTATTATTTCATTTATGTATTTATTATTTTATTTATGTATTTATTGTTTTATGTATCTCATATTTATTCATTTAACGAAAAAAACAAACAAAAAAAACAGCAAAAAATATGTTACAAAATTATTCACTGCCCTCCAACCTGAGACTTGCAGTTTCAGAGAGTTTTAATAACCTTATACGTATGCAGACGATATCTAGCAGGAAAATACAACGGTACAGTTTTTGAAGTCTTTTGAATATGAACAATATTTTTCACAGTTATACTGGAAAGGTAGCCTGGAAATTCTGTAGATGACAATTAGTGTTCCATGATCAAGCATAACGCTACCAGGGGGTCCAACGCAATGGTTGAAAGCGTGATACTCACAGTCACAGTCGTGCAGTAACTCGACGGCGGTGAGCAGTTTGGCTCGGTGCTCGGGGTCTCGGATGCCCAGGTAGTCGAGGTCGGCCACGTCCAGCTCCCGGAACAGGTCCAGGTCTTCATAGCCGTTCAGCACGAAGAGCGAAGTGTGCTCCTGGAGGTAACAGGCAGATCAAGTTATTGGAAATGAGAGGTACAGCACTCCAGTAAGTGCCTTACTGGAGAGCTAGATTGCGCAGGCGGTTTAGGTGAGTTATGATCTACAGTATGTCTAAAACGGGACGTAACATAATTTTCCAGATACGAAATTCAATATGAGGGAGATGGATTCGATGAAGGAGGAAGCGTTTCCATTTTGTAGAGTTCAAACATACATTTCTGAAGTGAAACTCGAACCCGCACTCAAAATTCAGTGAAACCTCGCACGGATCGCACTAATAAATGCACTAAACACATCATTGAGTTAATTATGCTCCGCTTTCAGAAATCCTTGAAATTCAGTTTGACCTTTTAAGCTCAGTGCATGTATTTTGCACATGTAAAAAACGGATGGCTAAGATATGACATATTATTCTAAGGAAAATACCATTTAGTAGCTTTTCCAGTCCTTTTGATTACAGAAAATTTGATCCCACAGATAGCATTTTCTTAGAAAAACAAACTTCGTCTCACTGATTACTTGAAGATGACTGACATACTCGTATTTGCGAGATTTTGTTCAAACAAACGGGACGTGGGAAAAGGTCCCTGTGGACGCAACACCCTTGATGGAAACGGGTAGGCGAATTGCCTACCTTCCGGAGCGTATCATTTCTTCTGTACTCGAGAAAGCATATCAACATTACATACACAGCCTAATATTTGACATGCATGACCAAACACTGAAAAC